ACATATTTCAGCTTGACACACTTCTGCTCGGGGTCTCCCTTGGGCGCCCAGTTCACGAGCCCACACATGCTGTATTATTTAAAACTGTGGTTCGGAGTTCTGTGTGTGTGGATGTGCATGTAATCTCCTGTTTGTATAAATGCCTTATGGAGTTGTTAGGCCTTTCCCTGTGACCTTGAAGGTGTGGCTGCACCTCTGATACCAGATAAACCCTGAGGTCTTGCCAGAAACAACATAAGCATGGCAGCATAATTATGATTCCCTCCTCATTTTTTTTTAGACTTTCTGGCTTTTCTGTGCTTTGATTTTTCTATTAGAAAAGGGAGAATATGCTGTTTCACAAGCAGTACAACACTCCAGTGATAATGTATCAACAAAGACTGCAAAGTGATTTATTACAGGAAATAGTCACATGAACAATTTATCATACACCCAAGAATAAAGATCTGCCAGAGAAAAAAATCAGCATAAAACATAAGTAACAATACCTAATGATGCTAAAAAGCAAACCAAGACACATGCATGTAAGCACACACAATAACTCAAGCTGATCTCAGAGCTGATAACATCATGGAAAACAGAGTGCTGTGGTGCAGCAAAATGACACATAAATCATGTGCAAGGCAGAGGATTCAAAATGCTGCGTTTGTATGATGGATACAAATAGCCATCCGATGTCTGTAAAGCTCTCGTATAAATACTTGTCTATGTGTTGCATGGGATATTTCACACTAAACTACTGTACAATTAATATTTCTGGATACAAAATGACTTGATACTAGCCTCTGAAGAAGCTGATCACTTTGCTGCATCACCTAGAAATTAAAGTTTTAATGTTTTCTAGTCAGAATTTAAATGTTTTTTAGACAATTAGCTAAAGGTGTTTTAGTCCAAACATTTTGCAGCATCTGTTGACTGTACATCAAGGCAATAATTGTAGAAAAACCATGTAAGAGAGGGGTCTGACTATGGAGGTGTCTTACCCACTGGAGAGCACTGTGAGCGGCACTGAGGCTGGATGGCCAGGAAGGTTGAGAGACACCTTGGCCAGCTCACCAGATGGCCTCAGTGAAGCGTGTCAGATGGCTGTGACAGCTACCTGCCCTTCCTTAAAGACTGTCACCATGTATAAACAAACCATTACTCTAATTTGTGAGTGCACTGCCCAGTGTGTGCGTGTGTGTGTGTGTGTGTGTGTTTGTGTGTGTGTGAGAGTACACAAGGGCATGATTGCATCCCCTATTTCATTGAGGGCTGCACAGGAAAAGTGCACACACAATTTTTATGAGATACTAATGAATTTTTTTAATGTCTAATTTTATGTCATACAACACTGACTTTTTATGTATTTTTTAGGACATACTATTGGCTACTATAATTACCATATGTTTTTTAAGGTCATTTTATTATTTATATACTATACTATATTTTTATTAATGTTATTTTATGTCATGCTATAGGTTTTTTTTTTTTTTGCCATTTTATACAATGACACAAAGTGCCTAAAACTGAGGTTCTTTAAATGGCCACTTGAGGCAGGCTCCAGAAGCCAGTCAGTCCCCACAAACCCCCATGTTAAAATGCCCAGCTATAAAGCAGAAATAAATGTTTACAGCCTAGTACAAAAAATGGTTTTGGTCTATATTTTATTTCCCCCTTCATGGTAACTGTACTGGAGGTGAATTTTATACAACTCAACCATTTAAATGTAATTAAGTCTTAAATTATGCATAATTAACGGCAGGCCGCTTTAAATAACAGGCTGTGTGTGGAAAGTGTCTGCGGCTTCTCAGTCGGATTCACCTCTTGCTCCTCCCAGTGCCAGCCTCTTTCCCAAATATGTCTCTTCTGGCTCCAAAAACTGAGATGACGATGGACAAAATGCCAAACTTGAGGCTTCAAAATGGGAGTCCACAAACTGATGGATGATGTCACAGAAGCTATGTCCATTATTTTTACCATCTATGCATACTACTATGACTGTTTTTATGCTGTTTTTGTTTTTTATGCCATACTATACTATGGTATTACTTTTTATGTAATTTTTTACATCATACTATACTATGACTTTTTTAAATATATTTTTTTTATGCTCTACTATACTATGACTGTTTTCATACAGTTTTGATAACATACTATACTATGACTGTTTTTATGCCATTTTTATGGCATACTGTATTGTGACTATTTTTATGCCATTTTTATGCCATACTGTACTGTGACTGTATTTATGCCATTTTTATGCCATACTATACTATGACTGTATTTATGCCATTTTTATGCCATACTATACTATGACTGTATTTATGCCATTTTTATGCCATACTGTACTGTGACTATTTTTATGCCATTTTTATGCCATACTGTAATATGACTTTGTATGTCATTTTTTATGCCATACTATACTATGACTGTATTTATGCCATTTTTATGCCATACTATACTATGGTATTACTTTTTATGTAATTTTTTACACCATACTATACTATGACTTTTTTAAATATATTTTTTTATGCTCTACTATACTATGACTGTTTTCATGCAGTTTTGATAACATACTATACTATGACTGTTTTTATGCCATTTTTATGCCATACTATACTATGACTGTTTTTATGCCATTTTTATGCCATACTGTACTGTGACTATTTTTATGCCATTTTTATGCCATACTGTACTGTGACTGTTTTTATGCCATTTTTATGCCATACTGTAATATGACTTTGTATGTCATTTTTTATGCCATACTATACTATGACTGTATTTATGCCATTTTTATGCCATACTATACTATGACTGTTTTTATTCCATTTTTATGGCATACTATACTATGACTGTATTTATGCCATTTTTATGCCATACTATACTATGACTGTTTTTATGCCATTTTTATGCCATACTGTACTGTGACTATTTTTATGCCATTTTTATGCCATACTGTACTGTGACTATTTTTATGCCATTTTTATGCCATACTGTAATATGACTTTGTATGTCATTTTTTATGCCATACTATACTATGACTGTATTTATGCCATTTTTATGCCATACTATACTATGACTGTTTTTATTCCATTTTTATGCCATACTATACTATGACTGTTTTTATGCCATTTTTATGCCATACTATACTATGACTGTTTTTACGTCATTTTTAATGCCATACTATACTATGACTGTTTTTATGCCATTTTTATGCCATACTATACTATGACTGTATTTATGCCATTTTTATGCCATACTATACTATGACTGTTTTTATGCCATTTTTATGCCATACTATACTATGACTGTATTTATGCCATTTTTATGCCATACTATACTATGACTGTTTTTACGTCATTTTTAATGCCATACTATACTATGACTGTTTTAATGCCATATGTGTGCCGTACTATACTATGACTTTTTATATAATTTTTTTATGCCATACTATACTATGACTTTTTATATCATTTATATCATATCATATCATATCATATCATACTATACTATGGCTGTTTTTGTGCCACATGTATGCCATACTATAATATGACTTTTTATATCATTTTTATGCCATACTATACTATGACTGTTTTAATGCCAAATGTATGCCGTACTATACTATGACTTTTTATATAATTTTTTTATGCCATACTATACTATGACTTTTTATATAATTTTTTCATGCCATACTATACTATGAATTTTTATATATTTTTTTCATGCCATACTATACTATGACTTTTTATATAATTTTTTATGCCATACTACACTATGACTTTTTATATCATTTTCATGCCATACTATACTATGACTTTTTATATAATTTTTTATGCCATACTATACTATGACTGTTTTAATGCCATATGTATGGCGTACTATACTATGACTTTTTATATAATTTTTTTTATGCCAGACTACACTATGACTTTTTATATCATTTTTATGTCACACTATACTATGACTGTTTTAATGCCATATGTATGCCATATACTATGACTTTTTATATAATTTTTTGTATGCCATACTACACTATGACTTTTTATATCATTTTCATGCCATACTATACTATGTCTGTTTTAATGCCATATGTATGCCATATACTATGACTTTTTACATAATTTTTTTATACCATACTATACTATGACTGTTTTTACATCATTTTTATGCCATACTATACTATGACTGTTTTTTTTACATCATTTTTATGCCATACTATACTATGACTGTTTTTTTTTTTTACATCATTTTTATGCCATACGATACTATAACATTTTTACGTCGTTTTTTTATACCATACTATACTTTGAATTTTTATGGATTTTTAAAGTAATACTACACTATGAGTTTTCTGTGTTATTTTTTATGCCACACTATACTATGACGTCTCTTAAGATTTTTCTTCAGGCTTTTCTTGACTTCAGTGATAGAAGAGCATAGCCTGTAGGGGGGAGAGAGAGGGATCGACACGCAGCAAAGGGCAGCAGGCTGGAATCGACAGCAAGGACCAAGCCTTTGTACATGGTGTGCCTGCTGTAACCACTAAGCCTCGACGCCCCATACTAGGGGTTTTAGCAGTTTGTTTGTTTTTTACGCCATACCATATTCTGATTTTTTCCGCCATTTTTTATGCCAATAAATGAATAAATAAATAAAGAAAATTAATTATTTCCTTCTATGGCCCTAAATTGTTTGTAGTTTACTTCACAAAAATGGGGAAAAGTGATTTAACTACATTAATCATGATGCAAGTATGAATGTAGTTGAACTACCAGCAAGCTACTGCAATGTAGTAAAAGTACTTTAATAAGAAATAATTTACTTATCCCCAAGGGTTAAGCTGTGTGTTAGGGGTTAAATGTCATAATTAACTGTTAAATAGGCTACTTGATCTTGTGCAAGTGGGAACACTGGTCAAGATCTCTACAGCCAGCCTGTAGATGAGATGGAGAGCCTTGAGAGCCTCAGCCTGCTCATTAATTTGCAGCGGAGCGTCGGATGATGCGCCTCCGCTCATCGCTGTCTCTACTGCGCAGCCGCAGTTTCTCCAGGACGCAGAGAGCAGAAGAGACAGACAGAAAAATGGCCCTCGATAATTTAATTTTCGCCCAGTGCATCCTTTATTTTTTAGCCTTCGTATTCGGTTTCATCGCCGTGGTGCCTCTGTCTGAGAACACGGAGGACTTCGGAGGGAAATGTCTGCTTTTCACGCGGGGAATGTGGCAAAATGAGAACATCACCGTGTCGAAGCAGCGCTTCATCGTGGAGGAGTGGGGACCCGAGTCCTCCTGCAGCTTCATCACTTTTGTCGGGATAGCGTCCCTCATCCTGTCCGCAGTGCAGTCATGGAGGCTCTTGTTCTTTCTGTGCAAAGGGCACGACGAGTGAGTGATGCTTGACTTGTGCTCATTTGACACAGCTCAGTACCAGCACCATTAAAACCTCAGTAGGACCTGCTATACCACTCAGGCTTTACGGCTCAATGTAAATGTGTTTTTTTTTATCCATCTCCCACGCCCTTATATGTGCGCTATAATGGCACAGTCACATCTGCATGTAATACAGTCCATGATATTGACAAATGTCCTAGAATGAGCCTTTAAAAACGACTAGTGACTGTCGTCCTCCATTATAAAGATGGAGGGGCTACACTTGTGAAAAATCTGAATCATACTGTGGCTCACATACAGTGTTTCCAGCCTGTGACAGTATTTTCATGTGTGTCTGGAGGACACACAGAAAACGAATCATGCTGGAACTTAGTCAGACATGAAGCAGAGATTTCACACTTTCTGTCCTCCTCAATTTTTGTTCCACCTGCCTGCAGCTCCATCTTCAACGCCTTCCTCAACCTGCTCATCAGCTCCCTGGTGGTGTTCACAGTTTTCCTGTCCAGCACCATCGTCAGTGTGGGTTTCAACATGTGGTGCGACTCTGTCACTGAGGGTGGGACCATGCCCAGCAGGTGAGATGGCAGCACACAACTGTTCAGACAGTATCAGAAGACAGTGCAGTGGTCCTCCTGATAACCAGCTTGTGTCATATTTCAGCTGTGAGGACATGCAGGACACTGATCTAGAACTCGGCCTGGACAACTCTGCTTTCTACGACCAGTTTGCTATAGCTCAGGTAAGACTATTCTCAATGTCATTCAAGACAGGTTAACAAAATCCTGACTGTCAGTCATACAATAATTTCCTCGCATCCTTCAGTTTGGCCTGTGGGCTGCATGGCTCACGTGGCTTGGGATCGCAGTGATGGCCTTCCTGAAAGTCTACCACAACTACAGACAAGAGGACCTTCTGGACAGCCTGATCCACGAGAAGGACCTGCTGCTCGGCCGCTCCTCACGCCGCAACTCTGACCTCAAGACCGGCTTGATTTAGAAACCAGAGGACACACGCTCTCACTCACATTCAGCTGTAAAGTCCTCTCACCTGCCATGAGAAACACCAATGTTTGCCTCTGTAGACAATCAAATTGGCTTCTGCTCCCATTGATCGTGGATTGAATCAAACGGAAGGTTTTAGCGTTGTTCTCCAAAGGTGATTGATTTCTCCTCAAAAAAATCTCCCAATGGTTGTTAATCCTTGAGGAATCCTGAGTTTAAGCATCCATTCCTCTCCAACACACAACCATAGTTAAGCTCCGATAGTATTAAGACCATTTGATAGAAATGTACATCCAGTTTTTCTCAACTCATAAATTTCTATTTATCAACACAGTATTAATGGCTCGGACAGATTAGCTGATGGATCATGTTGTCTTTGTGAAACTTCTGCATGGACCTAATGCATGACAAATTAATAGGGTGGTGGTTTTTAGATGTAAAAGGGATATTACTCTGTTTTATACACTAATAAATGTGTCCCTAAGAAGAGGTTTTTCTGGAAGGATGGGCACAAGATGAGGTGAGAATTCTTTGCATGCTGCAGCAAAGTAAAATGATGTGTGCTTTTGCGGTGTATTCACACTTTTATCAGCAGTTATAAAAGGTGTTTTATAAAAATGACAAATCGTAGTTCAGAATATCAATGTATCAGGCAGCCGGTTTAAAAAAAAAAAGCTTTTAGCAGTCCGTGTGAGATAAAATACAAATCCTATTTTGTGCCATATAGTAACTCAGGCTTCTCCTTTACACTTTATAGGCTACAAACCAATATACTGTATAACTGTGAGTAGACGCACAAATGTACCCGCATGCATCTCGCTCCCTGTTACATCCACATCACACACTCACTTACTGTCAGAGATTACAGGAAGAAAACAAATCATCTGCTTCACTTTGATAGGCAATGACAGTTTTATTCAAAACAACTGAAATCATAAAACGGTAGGAACTAAGAAAACCCTTCCATAAAAGGCACTTCTTTCAAAGTGACCATAAACGTTTGGACAGCTGTGAAATGCAGCTTTCAAGCTAAATGCGCATATGCAGGACATGAGTTCACTGTTTATTGCTAATGACGATTTCATTTGACAGTACAGAGTTGAGTGTTTCTTTCTTCTGTTCGAGCATTATTAGCCTTATATTGCTTTGACATTCAAATGCCTCCGAAATCCAACGCTCTCTGTCTGAGTTCCCTGAAACCTGTTATATAAAGAACAATGTTTTACTGGAAACCATGTGATGTGTGTTATTGCTCATAATGAGAGGTCTGTGGGATGTGCATCACTGTGCCCTTTTATTCCTATAATCCATTTGTGTGGTTTGAATTGATTTGCTTCATTTGATAAAGGGACTCATACAATAACAGAATCTGTTATATTTCTGTGTTTGGCCTCATATTTCTAGCAATGAATTGGATAAAAATGTTTTCATGTGTATTGCAAATATCTGTCTAGCCATACATTTGTCCAAAGCTTGATGAGCGTTTGACATCACGATTAAAACCTGAATATTATTGTTTTTAAATAGAAATGTAACAGGTAACAAAAAGTTAAAAAATCTAAAACAATTGAGAGTTGGATATTTGCGTAGATGCAGATATACAGTATAGAAGAATAAATAACATTTAGGATCGAGGATATCTTGTGGGGTTCAAGTGGTTATAAAGAGGAACACTGTCAAAAGCATTAGCATTCGTTCACTTTGAGTATATTCTCTTCGACGATAGATAAGGAGAGAGAATTCATAACATTGTGCTGCAGATTTTCTCCTCAGTGGAGCTAGGAATCAGCTGAAGACAGCCGGTTGTACAGAAGACCAGACAGTCTGTAAAGAAAGAGGTGTTTTTCATCTGTTAGTCATTCAACCCGGTGCTGTGAAGTGATGCAGCCCTGTGTTTTTTCGTTCTCGCAGATCATTATCCAACAGTTCACACATTTCTGCTTCCTGTCCTCCTCCTCTCAGATGTGCTCCGTGTCAATCAAAGCCGTCTCCAAACATCTCTACATTCATTTATGTGCAATTACAAGGCTGAATATTGTGATAGTCCTTAGTATATTGAACCATATATACACATTCAGTTCTGTGTAATATCTGATATACACAAATCATGTAACAAAATAAATATTTGCATTCCATGGAAACATTCACCCACATATAACAGACTGTGACATAGACTGACAGATCAGATGGGTGTGGTGATTACGTGAGCGTTATATGTGAGCATCAACATTGCACATGTGCAAAATCATAATTTAAATAAAGAGTGGCGTGCCAACCACTTTAGCACATTATGTACATACAGACATGGAAGCTACATATTTCTGGGATTACACATTTTTCCCTTTTTCACTGTGAGAGTGGCTCGACACCACAGACAGCGTACAGAGCCTTGCCAAATGGCTGAGGTGTTTGTAGGCCTGGGCTCCCTCAGAGATAGGAAAAAAGAGGGGTCTGAAAAAACTTAAAGGAGGCTCTACGTCTCCACCTGTGGTCGGTCTCAGTCACTGCATGGTCAGCCATATCCAGCAGCCCCACAGAAGCTGTTTCATATGCAGCAGGTAGACGGCCAGCGCGGCCTCAAGCTCCTCACACACTCGCTGTGGGCGCCGCCGGTCCGTGCAGTACATGGCCACACCCAGGAATGACATCAGCAGGAAGAGGCAAGTGAACAGGGCGAGGTGGGGGCGGGACGGTGTCGTCTCATAGGCTGCAAGCAAAAAAAAAAAACCAAAACCATTTTTTTTTTTTTTACAGTTTTGATTTGTAAATGAGCATTTGAATTGTCACATGCACAGGTCCCTCTCTTTCCTGCTGACCTAACAAAGTGAAAACCTCAAGAGGAAACTTTTGAGAGTGGATATAATGTGATTACACACAGTAAATGCAGTGTAGTGGAGGCTTGCCACACAAACTGGAGCTCTCTGTCCTTCACACCTTGTTAAAAAGTGGGTGACAGTGAAAAGCTTGACTGTGTTTTGCATTACAGGCAACAAAGTTAATTAAAAGTGACATTTAATTGACACATTTTACCAAACAATTAACCTAAATCCTTTTTCTTGATGTTTTCCCCACACATATTTACATCCAGTGGACTTAAAGTGCAGTGTTGTTGTGATTTTTTCATGCACACAGTGAATCTGAACTCTCTCAGACAGACTTACCACCTAAACAGTCACAGTAAGGAATGTCTGTAAAGCCGACAGAAAAGAGGCCAGTCAGTCAACAAGAGCCAGCCTCTGTGATGTACAGCAGCAACCACCCAGCTGCTGTGCCCTCATAGACTCCACTATCTCTCTGGAACAGACTCCATGGTGCCTCATTTGCATGCATAATTAATTGGAAAGAGTAAATCACTTGCTCATGTTTGGAAGTCTCACAGCATTACATTATTCTTAAATAGTACAGAATCCCCGAAGGACAATAGTTTACGATGCAATCTCAGGATGTGTAATGTATTTTGTCCTTTCTATTTACTGCTAAGTGCAGCATGCGCTGCTGTTACATATGGGTTGAGGGCTCCTCTACAAGCTGGGATTGCACAAATTTCAAGGAAATTTTTATAAACAATCACAGTTACATCCATATTGTTACTGTATGAATGCATTCCCTTATTCACGCTTGTGTAAGTGTAGAGCTGACATAGACAGGCTGCAGAAAATATGGGTGATATGAAGTCACTGGAATAATTTGGTCGAGGTGTGAAAGCACCAGAGGGCAGCATGTTCTCTCTGGTGGCACCAGCACATCTGTGTCAAACTGTTCTCTCACCATGTACTGTGGTCTCTGGCTCCCTGAATCGAACCCTCCGTTCGCCTTTCCGTCTGTGGTTGGGTTCTGTGTCTGATCCGTAGTTGGGACCTGGCCTCTTTAGAATGGAGGTGGGGACTTTGCCATTGGTAACCTGCAGCAGATACAGCTCAGGGTGAGTACAACCACAACTGGCGACAAACAGCTGGAAGGCACAGATCTTTTTCAAACAAACCTCTCATATCCACAGTAACAGAGCTGAAGGCACCTGCAGGTGTTGTTAACACTACCTTAGGTTTCGGTGCGTCCTCCTGTTGGTGGTGGGTGTCCTTTCTGTGGCGGACCTCTGAGTGTTTCTCCCGGTGGGAATGTGGAAGACAGTTGACGGTGTCTTTAATGGACTCTGCAGCAGCGAAGCGTTTGGACAGCACAGACACACACTGACCCAGGGAGTCTAGTGAGAGAACCATGACCGTACATGAGTAGTGATCTAGTGCTGCTTCACTCAGGAGCTTGCAGCCTGATCTGAAGACAGACAATGAGGCGCAGTTAAACATACAAAGTTAAACATGCAAATATGTCTAAGAAAAGACGCCAGTGTTAACTCTGTCAGCGCTGGGTAGAGCACTGCTAAGGAAACTCAAGCTGCAAACTGTGACACAAGGATGGTCAAAAACATGTAGTTGTTGTTATGTTTTTACTAAAAGCTTTGATATTTACTATTCCACAACCTATGGAAGAAAAGTTCTATGGCATACTATATATACTATGGCATTTTTTGACAATTATATGACATACTATACTACGATATTTTTCATTACAGAGTGTTATAATTTTTTAATGACTTTTCTATGACATACTGTACTATTACTGTTTAATGACCTTTTTTTAAACAACTGCACTATTACATTTTTATAGTATAGACATTTTTTATTAATTTTGTAATATGACATATTGTATTATACCACCTTTTATGTCATTTCTATGGCATGCTATACGATGACATTTTTTTATGACACTTTTATGACATTCTTTGTGACATTATTTTTGACCTACTTGCTAGAGCGGGTGGAGAGTTTGAGAGACAGCTGGAAGGTTGCATCAGCTGTATCCTTCTATTAGTAGTGTGTAAACCTTATTTACCTACAGTAGTCTTTACTTTGCAGTCTCAACAGGACTAGTATCTGTCTGGCCTAGTTTCAAAACAAGTGGCAACTCTCCTCTGAACCCAGATTTGGGACATCAGAGTGTTTTCAATAAATGTCTTTGAGGTTCATGGTTGTGCTGGAAATCAACATAGTCAGAATCAATACATTATTGGGGGCGGGGGCAAACTTTCTGAATACTCGGAGGTACTTGTGCCCCCCAGAATAGGAGTAGAAAGCGTTGTAGTTCTCAACCTCAGCATTGTTGGTCCTTCATTTATATTATACTGAAAGCTTCTCAAAGCTACCAAATACTCTGTGTTTTGTTTGTCATCACTGGCCTGAAGTCAAGCTATTACTGTTCTGGGTCATTTACAACTAGAATAGCCTTTATAGAGCATGACTGAGTGAGAGAGACACACACACAGGGGACAGACTTTCTTTTGTTCATATGTATGCAAAAATAAACATGCTCCTTATAGAAAACTTCAAATTTTAATGAGACAGAAAGATGCTGCTCGGCTTATGCAAACAAAAGCAGTAACCCTTCTGACTATATACTCTATAAATGATTAAGAAATAAATGGGCTAAATAATATTAATGTAAAAAAAACAGATGTGAATACCACCTTTCCTGACATAGCCAAATCCAAATTTTGAAAGATGTACAAACATTCCTCAGTTTTAATCACACCAGCCAGTTGTTTTGTTTTTGAAGTGAGGTGAATCAAAGTCAAATGAATAGTCACGTAATTAGGGACAGTTTAACATCTCTCATAGGAGACCATGTGCACATTATTAGTGGGGAAGGGGGGTCAAAAATTTGAGAGGCCTATGTAGTTTTTATCGTTTTGCTGAAAGGGGAGTAGTCTGATTTTTTTTAAAAGAGCAGGAGAGGGTCATTTGAAAACTACATTTCTATACATTACATTTTTTTCAAAACTATACATTTCATTTTCCCATTTTTATCTTATTTATGCTACCTTTCTTACTGCCATCCATAAAGTGGATTTTGGTGGATACTGTAAATAATATTATTCAAATTACATATTATGTTTTTAAAAGTACAAAATTTCAAATTCTTTTTGCACCTTAAGGTTATTCTATTAAAGGAGGTGCACCAATTGCACACTGATATATATTATGTTGAGATATTATACTGCATATTCATTATATGAATGTGTGTGTGTGTGTCCTATTTTTATTAAGTGAACAAATTGCCCCTCTCAATTCAATAATTTTCATACATTCACTATCTTATTAGAAGTGGGTTAATTATAGTTATAAAATGTAACCGCATACTGCCGCAAAACATACCACAGCTGACAAACTAATTTAAC